TTTTATTTGGTAATTCTATTCTACAAAACAAAACTAATTGATTTTATCAGTGTTATAAAAATAAAACAAAGCTTAGTTATAATGTCAAATGTTTTCGTAGCAGATGTACCGGTACCAATCAAGAAGCAATTCAACATTAGATTCCTATACTTCAAATTCAAGATTTTGTTTTTGTATAATGCAAGGTCAGATGTACATCAGGGTCAGCTTAGTTATAAATTTACATTATGTGTCTGACTGTTGGTTACTGCTATTGTTTACAATTTTCTTCTCTTGCTTATTGCCTGAATAGGCTTCAACATTTTACATGGATATCATTTCATTGGTTGGTAGCACCAAGGATTAGTAAGGATAGGTTGAAAATCTTTTTGATGATATATTGTCAGGTTAATGCTTACAGTTATATCAAATAGTGCAGTTCTTGTTGTAGTTGCTGGCTTGCTGCCAAATAAAAACCATTAGTTTATATTGTTGTCTTGTCAACAATGGACAAGGATTAGCTTTAGTATTCTTCCTACGTGAACAAAGGAAATCCAAAGTCTAATTCTTTTATAGAAGCATATATAAAGTTTATTTCAGAAATATTTCCTACCAGCCAATAAAATTACTAAATTGTTCTATATTATATAACACTATAATGGATGTGTGTACCCTGCAGTGAGAGGACCTGCTCCCCTAGCACACACCATGTGTTGTCATACTTCAGCATTTTAGCCATCCTGTTTGACCTGTTCAATATTCTATTGCAGTTCCTTTGCAGTAGGTCATGACAAATTAGTGAATTACCTAATTAGACAACTGGCTCTGCTCTATATATCGTAATGATGTTTATTTCAGTTCTATTACTGAATTCCTATGGTGTTTATTTCAGTTTTATGTATGTTACTAAAATGGCTCTCATTCTAGACTAAAGTGACTATGGTTTCAAAAGCATGAGCTTTTTTAGTTCTCACCGTGGTTCAGTGACCCTCCAAAAGTTGTTTTCAAAGAGAAAAAAGTTGTTTTTAGTCTACCTGCAGAGCATTAGAGGTTATAGAAAAATATATGTTTTAGTCCATAAATATCCATGGTGAGGGTTACATAGATGTGCATTGATCCTTGCTGCTGTGATCTGCTCTTTTGGTGCTTCTACATTAGCTTTCTATTGTGAGAAATCTTTGGGAAAAAAAGCAATGACATACTTTTCTTTTGCCATTTATTTTCCTCTCTTTCTGGATGATCAGTAATAACTCTCCAGCTAGAAAATCCATTGAAGGCAACATGTAGCAGCTGCTGCGCTGCTCGCCATTTCTGTCGATTGCTAAGAAAGACGGCTTTACCTTGCGCCTGTGTCGGAACTGTCCTGTACCAAATGCCAATCCATTTGGACACTGCAGAGACCATATGGATGTTTACAGGGAGATAGTGCTCATCTTTATGGAATTTCAATCCTCATATTCCTGAAGGCCTGCACTTCTAGCCCGAGCTTCGCTCCTGCGGCTGTCACTAGTTTGGCTAGCTGAAAACTGCCCTACATATGTTTTTTTATAACTAATGACTGAGATGGCCGCTTTTGCATGTGATATCTGAAGAACGGTGTTTGTATGTGTAACCACTACGCACAGCCTATATTACATTACATATTGAAAAATGCAGGCAGTGATTTTGACCACTGCTTGCTGTCATTTTAAGTACTCATTTGAATCAGATGTATCTTTCTATTCGACATGGTGATGTGCCCAATATACTCATTTAGAATGCTTAGTTTGCTTTAAAAAATATGTATATCTTGTGTAATTTGTTTCGAATGCTTAGAATCTAATAATTTAGAATACTTAGTTTGTTTTAAAATATCTATGGTGCCAGCCTGCACGTAAGGGCGCGCGCCCCATCTCAGAAACTATGCATTCTTGGTGTTCTGTCTGTTTCATGTAAAATTATGTACTATCTTGACATCTAGCGTCCTGGTGTGGACCGTCTCGTGTAAGATATAAGTACTATTTGGACACTCTCTATGTCTCATGTAATATATATGTAGTGTTTGAATTGCAGCTGTTTTAAAAATCCAGCTTTCTAATCGGCGCTCGTGCTGTCATACTCATATTGTTGGCTTCATTTTCATTCTTCATAAACATTACTCTATTTTTCAGATAGAACTGAGGCCATGACTCGCTCGCCTGGGCATGCGCAACACGACAGTAAAATAATTTTTCACCGTTTGATCACAATCACGTGGCCAAAACTCGATGGAACCGGGTAAAAATATCTAATCCTCTTAACTCTCGTATCTATCTATTATGCGATCCGTGTGTTTTTAGTACAAAAGTTTAGCTGTCTCGTAGCAACGCACGGACATGCTATTTATAATTTGGAAAGGAGCGAGGAGAAGATAATGCGTGAGGGAGAAGGGGGAGCGTGCGGATGAAGTGGACTCCGCGTGCGCGTGCGCCTGCTAGGGGTGCCCATAAGATAAACATGCATACGTGTGTATATGAGTGGTACGGGGTGCCTCAGCCAAAAAAAGAAGAAGAAGGTGTATCTAGATTTATTTATTTTATTTATTTATTGCTACAAAGGGAAGGAGAAAATGACACAAGCAACTATGCAAAGTCTATATATATATATATATATATATATATACTCTCCTTACACAGTTTGCTGCTGCTTCGTAGACGCAACCATGGTGACCTCGGCGTTGCTTGCTCTGCTGCTGCTCATTGCCCTTCTCTCCTTTCTCCTCCTCTTCACCGGCAGAAACACCTCTCCGTCCCACGGAGATAGCCAGAGTTTGCCTCCGTCGCGGCCAGCCCTTGCTCTCCCAAGCCACCTGCCGCTTTTTGGCTCCCAGCACCACGGCCGCCGCCGCTCGTCCTTCGCCAGGAAGCGCGCCGACGATGGCCAGCGGCGGCTGCCTCCGTCGCCGCCCGGGCTGCCGCTTCTGGGCCACCTCCACCTACTGGAAGCCTGCCGCACCGATCGCTGCGGTCGCTCGTGGCGGCGCACGGGCCCGTCATGCTCTTGCGCCTCGGCCGGGTGCCAACGGTGGTGGCTGTTGGAACCAGGCGTTGCCCTGGGTCCTCGAGCTCAGGCCTCGACGGCGACGTGCCACCGGCGTGGTGACCGCGGCGACTGAGTAACAGATGGAACAAGAACGTGAGAGAATTATGCGCTGCCAAACATCGCAGCTTCTCCGGCCTCTATTGTTTCTTATTTATAATGATAGATGGGATCACGGAACATGTCTCCGCATATCCCCGCGCCACGCCGCACACCGTGTGCCACGCCGTTTCACCGCGACGCGCACCACGTGCTGCGGCATACGTTGTGACGCGTACCGACCGAGAACTCCAGATCGTGTCGTGCCCAAGCACACCTCTGGCCACGCCCAATCTGCTGACTCGACTAGACTCCTGTGACTTAACGACTTAACAACGAAATCCTAACCGAATGATGCAACAGTTTAGCTAACAAAACACCCCCTAAACCTGTTGCAGCTCGACGACGCCCAATTCATTCCTCAGCTCCATAAACCTGACACGCCCAAGCGCCTTGGTGAACATATCGGCCAGCTGATCAGCAGTTCCAACATGATCAATCTCCACCTTTCCTTCTTCAATGCACTCACGCAGGAAGTGATACCTTGTATCAATATGTTTGCTCCTATCATGATGCACTGGATTTTTGCTCAGTGCGATCGCGGACATGTTGTCCATCAGGAGCTTAACTGGCGTCTCCTTTGTTCCCATCAAGTCGCCCACTAGTCGGCTCAACCATATCCCTTGACATGCTGCTGCAGCCCCTGCAACGTATTCGGCTTCACAGGACGACAACGCCACGATCTTCTGCTTTTGCGAAGCCCACGTGACCAAGCTCTTACCGAGAAAGTAAACAACCCCAGTAGTGCTCTTCCTGTCCTCTACATCACCGGCGAAATCATTGTCACTGAACCCTAGCAAAAACGGTTTTAGTTCAGAGTTTCTTGCATACTTGCAGCCAAACCTCACGGTTCCCTTCAGATACCTGAGTATGCGTTTTACTGCAGCCCAATGTTCTTTGCCTTTAGCTTCCATATATCTACTCACAACACCGACCGCGAAGGCTATGTCCGGTCTAGTGTTGACAAGATATCTCAAGCTCCCTATGATGCTTCTATATGCTGTAGGATCCACAACTTCTCCCTCATTCTTCTTGCTGAGCTTGAGCCGAGCCTCCATGGGTGTTGCACAAGGATTGCAATTTGTCATTCCCACAGACTCCAAAATCTTGGTTGTGTAACCACTTTGGCACAAAGTGATCCCATGTTCTCCTTGCTTCACTTCTATTCCCAAGTAGTAACTCAACAACCCAAGATCGCTCATACTGAATTTCTTCTTCATTTCCTGCTTGAAATTTTTAATGTCACTGACATTTGGCCCGGAAATGATTAAGTCATCGACATAAACCCCGACAAGCAAGAGAGACTTCTTGTTGCTCCTCTTGTACACAGCATGTTTGAGCTTGCTCTTCACAAAACCAAGAGCTATCAGCTCCTTGTCAAGCTTCGCATTCCAGGCCCTAGGTGCCTGCTTTAAGCCATAGAGCGCCTTTTTCAATTTCAGTACTTTTCCTCCGTTACCCATGATGAAACCCGGAGGCTGTTGAACATAAACTGTTTTAGTTAAGTCTCCATTCAAGAATGCCGACTTGACATCCATATGGTGTACTTCCCATCCACTTTGAGCTGCAAGCGCCAACAACACCCTCACTGTTTCAATTCTGGCAACCGGAGCAAATACCTCATCGAAATCTACTCCATGTCGCTGAGCATAGCCCTTTGCCACTAACCTTGCTTTATGCTTGGTAATATTACCTGTTGGGTCTTTTTTAACTTTGAAAACCCACTTTAACCCAATGGCCTTTTGATTTGCTGGCAGATCACTAACCACCCATGTCTTGTTGTCCTCGATTGCCTTCATTTGAGACTCCATGACCTGTCTCCAGCAACTCTTTTGACAACGCTTCCTCAAGCTGTAGCTGGTTCCTCAGAGGCGACCAAACACAAGCCACTCGTACTCAAAACCACGAACTTCATTAGTGGAATCAAGCAAATCGGGTATCGTTCTATACCTCAATGGAATGCCTTCTGAATCAACCGAAGCTCCTGTCGGTGGTGTCGCCCATTGTATCTGCGGTGCTGACTGCAGTGTTGATCCCACAATTGACCCGGTTGGTGTGTGAGGTGGCGTACCCAGAGCACCCCCTCCCCTTTGATGGAATTGCTACGGCAGGTGAAGACGGCACTCCCGCATTGAGATCCCGATTAGCGAAATGTGTCGGCTCTATCTTTGGACCGTGAATAAAGTGCCATCCGGCACTTCATCTGCATGATACGGCCGAGAAGCTGTGGTGCCAATTCGCTCGCCCTGCTGCTTTCTCCTCCCAATTCCATCTTCTTTTCTCATCAAAAATCACGTCCCTAGTCACTATCAACTTCTTGTTGACAGGATCATACACTCTATAGCCTTTGGTCCCCGATTCATAACCAAGGAACACCCCGGTATCGATCTATCTCGCCGGTTTGTTTACACTAGGGCCTCAGACGCTTTGTAAACATACGACTGACCAAACGTCTGGAGGTGCCGCACACTCGGTTTTCTCCGAACCAAGCCTCAAACGGAGTCCCGCCATTTAAACTCTTTGTTGGTGACCGATTCAACAAGTAGACAATTTGCTTTTATCGCTTCTCCCTGAATTTTCCAGCACACTCATACTCTTTAACAGACATCGAGCCATCTCCACAATAGTTTGATTGTGTCGTTCCACCACTCCATTCTACTGTGGAGAGTATGGCGTTGTGGTATTCCGCTTGATCCCTTGTTCATTGCAGTAAGCAACAAACATACCGGAATTAAACTCACCACCCCGGTTAGTTCTGAACGCCTTCAGACGATGGCCTGATTCAACTTCAGCTCCCACTTTTATCTTCTTGAAACTGCTCAGCACTTCATCCTTGGTTGCCAACAATTCCAGCCACATGTAGCGGCCTGTGATCATCCACGATCAACAGAAAATACAATTTTCCACCTGGCGTAGGCGGTGTGATCGGTCCACATAGATCACCATGAACCAGATCAAGGCCTCCACTAGCACGGTATGCCGAAACTTGAGGGAAAGGAGTGCGATGCTGCTTCCCAAGTGCACAACCGTCGCAAACTTGTTCAACTCGACTGATTGTTGGGATTCCCTCCACCATCTCTCTCACACCGAGATCATGAAGTGATCTGAAGTTGAGATGCCCATACCGTGCGTGCCATAGCCAAGCCACTTCATCCATCTTGCTTAGTAGACATACAGGCGAAGTAAGATTCACTTTCATGATATACAAGCGATTTTTCCTCTCCGCCCTAATTAACACTCCACGCTTTTCTTGTCCATCCTGCTGCCGCTCAAACACTTCCAGAATACCGTGATCGATTTCAACCCGGCATCCCCCTTCTTCGAGCTGACCAAGGCTAACAATATTGCACTTAAGAGATGGAATAAAGTATACCTCTGTGAGAACTCGGTGGTCGTTGTTCTTTCCAGCGATCGTTACGGCACCGATCCCGTGAATCTCCACTATCGACCCATCACCAAACTTCACTGCGCCCCGGACCGTCTCGTCCAGAGTCGCCATGGCTTCTCGGCGCCCCATCATATGGTTCGTGGTGCCCATGTCTAGTACCCACGCTCCTTCGTGGTATTTCGCCGGGAATACGCGTTCCTGATTTAGGAACACATGCTGCGACACCGGCGTGCTCAGCCTCTTGATGTTGCAAACATGCGCCACCATCAGAGCTGGCTCTGCCTCGACATTGGCATGATGAGTAGCCTCTTGTCGTTCTTCTTTTGCCTTCGTTTTGCACTCTTTTGCAAAGTGCCCATAGATTTTGCACTTGCGACATCTACCTTTACGCCATGGGGTTCCCATCGACGTGAGTTGCTTCCCACCGGAGTCACGCGCATCGCCGCCGCCGCGTGCCCCAGATCCGGATCGCTCCTTCTTCACATACTGCCCGCCGCCTTTGCCTCTAGAAGACGAGGTCGAGTCCGACGAACGTTGTTTATTCCTGGCTGCCCACTCTTCTTCTGTTAGGAGAAGTTTGCTAGTCTTCTCTGTCACCTGCTCCACGAGGGCTCAAACCTCTCTTCTGCTGCCCGAAGATGACCCACAAGCTCCTCGATCGACAGTTTCTTTAGATCTTTGAACATCTCAATCGCCACCACGACTTGACTGTACCTAGACGGCACCACACGAAGGAATTTCTTCACCACACGTTCGTCGGTGATGCTCTCCTGCCCAAGCCCTCGTAGATCCGTGATGAGCTTTGTGATGCGAATCGCAAAATCATCAATGGCCTCACCCAGCTTGAATGCGATGGATTCGAACTCAGCCAGAAGCTTTTGGGCGTTGACCTCCTTAACACAATCTGCTCCAAGACGCATGGTCTTGATTGCCTCCCATGCCTCCTTCACCGTTTTCTTGTTCAGGAGCATGGAGTGCATCTCTTGTGGCACGCCGTGAAGCATGGCACCGAGTGCCAAGTGATCTTGACGTCTCTCCACCTTTGTAGAATCGGCTTCATCAATGGCATCCCAAAGAAACATCCCTTCCAGATTGCACTGGATGTGAGACGACCACTCTTGATAATTCGTACGAGTCAGCAGCGGCCATACCAAATTCCCCGTGGCTTGATTGAATGCCCGGTCCATGGATTCTTTTTCACCCGAGGTGCCTGAACCCATCTCGACGATGCTCGAGTTCGCGCTCTCCTTTTTCAACGTTCCGGTGAAACCTTCAACCGGCAACTTTATCCAAACGCTAACCGCCACCACACGCCTCCTCTTTCGACAACCAACGGCTCTGATGCCACTTGTTGGAACCAGGCGTTGCCCTGGGTCCTCGAGCTCAGGCCTCGACGGTGACGTGCCACCGGCGTGGTGACCGCGGCGACTGAGTAACAGATGGAACAAGAACGTGAGAGAATTATGCGCTGCCTAACATCGCAGCTTCTCTGGCCTCTATTGTTTCTTATTTTTATAATGATAGATGGGATCACAGAACATGTCTCCGCATATCCCCGCGCCACGCCGTTTCACCGCGACGCGCACCACGTGCTGCGGCATACGTCGTGACGCGTACCGACCGAGAACTCCAGATCGTGTCGTGCCCAAGCATGCCTCTAGCCACGCCCAATCTGCTAACTCGACTAGACTCCTATGACTTAACGACTTAACAACGAAATCCTAACCGAATGATGCAACAGTTTAGCTAACAGTGGCGTCGACGGCGGCCGCAGCGGAGGAGGCCATGAAGACCCGGGACCTGGCCTTCTCGGGGCGCCCCAGGCTGATGATGGCGGAGCGCCTCCTGTACGGCCGCGACGTGGGCTACGCGCGCTACGGCGAGTACTGGCGCCAGGCGCGGTGCATGTGCGCCGTCCACCTCCTCTGCCCGTGCCGCACCGCCTCGTTCCGCCGCGCCCGGGAGCAGGAGGTCGCTGCGCTGGCCGCTCGCGTCCGCGCCAGCGACGACGGAACGGGCGCCGTCAATCTCAGCGACCAGTGCCGGCCCTAGGGGTAGGCCACCAGGTGCGACGGCCGAGGGCCCAAGCAGCGGAGGGGCCCAAGCCCAGTATACAAATCCTCAGGTCCTATAATCCATTAGGCATTAGCAAACTAATAAGAGGAGAGACGTAGAACTGGTCAGGCGGTCTAAAAAGACAACATCGATATTTCTTTTCTGATTTTCTTTCCCCACGGTGCTCGGATAGAGAGGAGGCGACGAGTCACGCTGCACACAACACACTCTGATCGTGAGTTCGCGACGTGTGCCTTACACACGCGGAGCTGGCGAGCCGCGCCACCGTGAAGAGCTAGACTACCGGAGACACGGACACGACGCACGAGGATGGCGACCAGGCAGGACTCCACGACGACGACATCTTGATTCTTGGCTTCTTACGAATTGCAATCAACGATTAGTTGTTTAGACCCAATATATTTTTTCCTTTTTATTTTTAATCCAAATTAATTATTTATATAGTATTCCAGACTTCTAGTACTGTGTATCCATATAGTCATATTTTTTCTTTTAATTTAGGTGTTAGAATTTTAGAATGTTATATAAGAAACATTTGTCATGGGTGAGAAAAGAAAACGAATATATTGCTTTTTTTAATCTATATTGTTCCTCGATAATGATTGCACATCTACAGATATAGCCCCGTTCGCTTCGTAAAAAAACAAGCCGAATAAAACAGTTCCGGTTGATTGTTGTGAGAGAAAAACACTGTTCCGGATGGAAAAAAAAAGCTGAAAATGACGGATTATAAGAGAAACGAACATGACCTATATTGCTTAATCTATATTGTTTCTCGATAATTATCAGACATATTAAATTAAAAATATGCTATTGAATTTGCTTTCGTTTTAGAAGTAAAATTAGTGCCTATATATTATAAAATTTTATACATCGTTAGGTAGGGCTGCTGCGACGAGATCGCCAGTTAAAATCATAGGACCGGCACTGTCAGCGACGCCCTCATCTGCTACTCAAAGGCCATCATCTCGCGCGCGGCGTTCGGGGACGGGGACTACGGACTCCACGGCGACGAGGGCGGCGAGAAGCTGCGGCGCGTGTGCTCGCCGACTTCCAGGAGCTGCTCCTCGCGACGCCCATGCGGGAGGTGTCGCCGTGGCTCGGGTGGGTCGACACGCTGACCGGGCTGGAGGCCAAGACGAGGCGCACCTTCGAGGCGCTCGACGGCTTGCTCGAGCGGGTCATCGCGGACCACCGCCGTAGACGGCGTCCTGGGCCTGGAGGGGACGGCCGGCCGGATGTTGACGGCGCTGGTGCCGACGACGATCACCGGGATTTCGTCGACGTGTTGCTGGATGTGAACGAGATGGACAACGATGCTGGGCTCCGGCTCGGCACGGACAGCATCAAGGCAATCATCATGGTAGTACATATCCATTTGTGCAATCGTCATGGTTATGCAATAATGATCTCTTCAGTCTCGACGTCATTTTTTTTTCTAAAAAAGGAAATAATATTCATCTGTGAGCAATGGAGCAGGACGTGTTTGCTGCCGGCACTGACACTTCGTCCACGGTGCTGGGATGGGCCATGGCGGAGCTCATGAACCACCCGGACGAGATGCGAAGGCTGCAGGCCGAGGTCCGCGGCGCCATCGCCGGCAAGGACGCCGACCGCCGCGACGTAACCGAGGAGCACCTGGACAGGATGCCGTACCTGAAGGCGGTGATCAGCGAGACGATGAGGCTGCACGCGCCGGCGCCGCTCCTGATCCCGCGCGAGACGACGGAGGACACGGAGCTGCTGGGGCACAGCGTGCCGGCGCGCACGCGGGTGGTGATCAACGCGTGAGCCATCTGCCGGGACCCCGCGGTGTGGGAGCGCGCGGAGGAGTTCGTGCCGGAGCGGGCGCCGGCGCGCCACCGGTGGAGTACAGCTACAGCAAAGGTGGGGGTGGGGCAGGACTTCAGGTCCGTGCCGTTCGGCGCCGGGAGGAGGGGGTGCCCCGGCGCCGGGTTCGCCGCGCCGACTGTCGAGCTCGCTCTCGCCAACTTGCTGTATCACTTCGACTGGCCCGCGCCGACGGCGCACGGCGGCGGCGTGGGGACGCCGCCCGTGGACTTGAGCGAGGTGTACGGGCTCTCTGTCCGGCTCAAGACGCCGTTGATCCTCGTCGCCAAACCATGGCTAGGATGAACTTGACGGAATGGAGCTGACTTCGTGCACTAGACAAATGCATCCATGCTTATCAGGATGCGTCGAGAGCGCGATGTGTGTTCTGTGTGACCGTGTGGTAACCATGCATGCTTTCTTTGAACTAGCACAACTAGTGTGATACTGTCAGAAGTTCAGAACAGCAGCAAATGTAACCATAGCATTTTGGGAAGCTGGCAAATTTGTAACAGAAAAGCAAGCATGGGATGCGAAGAACCAAATAGGACAAGACAAGAGGAACCAAAACTGAATTCCATTTGCATTAGCAGATGCAGATCGACTTTGCCAACAGACGCACAGCACAGAGCAGAGCACACGTTCTCTTCTCTCGGACAAACAGAACGAACCACAGCACGGATACTGCAGAGTACTAGCAGTACAGCCTACCCAAGCCTGTTTGTTCATAACGGCGATCAATTCTGGTATGAGACGATGGTTCCTTAGAATTCAAGAACACTACTAATCTACTCAGAACGAGATGCCCCCTGACAGAAAGCTGCAGGCAAGAACATTACTAATCACCAGGGGAAACAAATGGAAGCCGCCGGCGAGAGGAGATGGATTATATTCAGATGGTCATCGTCTCATCCCGACGACGACGGCTGTCCCTCGTCCGTCTCCTTCGTCAGCTCCAACCCCTCTAGCCAAGACTCAACGTACTGGACCACCGAGCGATCGTTCCTCTCCCTCTCCATCTTTGTTCAGAGAAGAATTCCATTAATTCCGTGCATTGCTGTTTGCATCAAAGATTGGAGTATGCATTGTTGGGCCACAGTTAGCCTCCCGACTACCGAGATGGCCTCCAGATCACTCCGTTGGTCTCACAGGATCACCGGCTCACGACAGTGAACCACTCCAGCCGATCTTGTCGAGCACCGGCTCAGGCGAGTGGAGCACTTGACGGTCTCGCCGAGCACGCGCTAGTGATGTCGAGCACCCACTAGCCGTGCAGACCACGTACCGGCGTTGTCCGTACCCACACACTACGGACGAGCTTAGAAGAAGAAGGGAGAACAGAGCAAGCACGTACAATACAAGACAACAGCATTGGCCGAGGTCCTGTCTGTGTGATGGCAAATCTGAGCTCTCTTTACTGAGTTATCATACATGTCTATTTATACAACTCTAACTATCTATTCCATGTACAGCGCCCATGCTGGCACAGTAACTAGATAACCTGACCTGCGCCGACCACTGTCTGTTCCTACAGTGCTGCAGGTGAGCCGTGCGGCGCCTGCACCTGCAGCGCCTACTGTATCACAGCAGGGGGCAAAGTCGACGCAGCCTTCCCTTGCTGTGTTCACACACAGCAGGCGGCTAAGTCGGCGCCGCCTTCCTCTGCTGTGTTCACACAAGGTGGCGGTAGATTAGCTAACAATCTTCCCCTAATCCTACTGCTAACCTTTGTACCCCCTCCATGCCGATCATCTTCTTCAGCTCCGTGAGTCGAAGTCGTTCGAGCGGCTTGGTGAGGACGTCTGCGAGCTGCCGAGCAGTTTCGACGAACTCGATGACGATTTGCCCTCCATCAACACAGTCCCTGAGGAAGTGAAACTTTACGTCGATGTGTTTACTCCGGTCGTGCAGAACCGGATTCTTCGCGAGGGCGATGGCGGGCTGGTTGTCCACCATCAATGCTGGTGGGTGAGCTTCCATGCCGGTCAGCTCGCCCAGCAGCCGGCGTAGCCACACAACTTGGCACGCCGCTGTGGCCGCCGCTACGTACTCTACCTCGCATGTAGATAGCGCCACCATCTTCTATTTCAGTGACAGCCATGAAACTGGGGCTGACCCGAGGAAGACGAGCACGCCAGAGGTGCTCCGTCTTCCGTCGATGTCCCCCACCATGTCTGCATCGCTGAATACTGTGAGCTGCAGCCTACTCCTGCCGGTCTTTAGGAAGATGATTCCATGATTCACCGTCCCCTTGACGTAGCGTAGTAGCCGCTTCACCGTAGCCCAGTGATCCTCTCTGGGATCCTCCATGAAGCGACTGACGTAGCCCACGGCGAATGCAATGTCTGGCCTCGTGTGGACTAGGTAGCATAGACCGCCGACGATGCTTCGGTAGAGTGTTGCATCCACCTTCGCCGCAGTGCTGGCCTTCGTCAGCTTCAGCCGCTCCTCTATCGGAGTCACGCATGGCTTGCACTCCACCATGCCGCTCCTCTCCAACAGCTTGGAGGCATACACACTTTGCCCGAGCGTGAGTTCCTCCTTTCCCTGTCTCACCTCGATGCCGAGGTAGTAGGAGAGAGCGCCGAGATCGCTTATTCGGAAACGAGCTGCCATCTCTCGCTTGAAGCTGTTGATATCCTCCGTGCGCGCGCCGGTGACGATTAAGTCATCTACATACACGCCGACCACGAGCTCTTCCTTCCCCCGTCGTCGCGTATAGAGCGCGTGCTCGGTTGCGCACCTTTGAAACCCAAGTTCGCCCAGCGTGGCGTCAAGCTTGGCGTTCCATGCTCGAGGGGCTTGCCGCAGCCCGTTGAGCGCTTTGCGCAGTCGGAGCACCCTGTGCTCCTCTCCCTTGACAGCGAACCCTGGAGGTTGCCTGACGAAGACCGTTTCCGCCAGCTCGCCGTTGAGGAAAGCCGATTTAACGTCCAAGTGATGGACGCGCCAGTCCTTTGCTGCCGCCAAAGCAAGTAGCAAACGGACCTCCTCGAAGTCGATGCCCTCGCGCTGGACAAAGCCTCGGCGATGAGGCGCGCCTTGTGCTTGACAATGGCGCCGAGCTCGTCCCTTTTGGCTTTGTACACCCACTTCAGGTTGATCGGACGGCATCCTGGAGGTGGATCGACGAGCTGCCAAGTCTCGTTTTCCTCGATCGCCTTCATCTCCTCCAGCATCGCCCGTCGCCAGTTTCCATCACGCTCGGCTAGCGCGAACGTGGGTGGTTCCTCTGCGCTGACGAGTAGCAGCTCTGCGTCGTTGAGCAGCCTACCCGCCAGACCTGAGGGACCTGTGCCGCCGACGATGTCGTCCAGCCTGCGGAACCTCAACTCCTCACCTTCGTGGTAGGCGTCCACGAACTCAGTGATGTCACTTGGAGGTGTGGTGAACTCGATCGGGAGTGATGGAGTTCCTTCTTCCGCCGGAGTGCCCTGCATAGCACCCGAAGTGCTCGGCACTGCTTCTGGACTGCTCGTCATAACTCCTGCAGTGTTCGGCCACACTGTAGGAGTGCCTAGCCTTAGTCTTGGAGTGGTTGGGACCATAGTAAGACGTCTTGGCTCTGCCACGGGAGTGCTCGGCACCCGTCCTGAAGTGGTTGCCACCACTGCAGAACCTCCTGGCTCCACTCTTGACGTGCTCGACATCACTCCAAAAGTGCTCGACACTCCTTTCGGAGTGCTCGGCATCCCTCCTGAAGTGCTCGGCACTGCCCCAGAAGTGCTCGACTCTACCGTCGGAGTGCTCGGCGCTCCTCCCGGAGTGTGTGGCACCTGTTCCGCAGCGTCTCCACCACCGTGGATGACCAAGTGCTCGACGACGGTGTTGGGGAAGCATCCTGCTTCCCCCGTGCTCGGACTGTTCCAGTACCAAGCTGCCTCCTCGTTGAACACAACATCAAACGAGACAGTCACCTTGTCTCCGTGTGGGTCATAGAGCCGGTACGCCTTGGTACCCTCCGCGTAGCCCAAGAACACCATGGGTGTGCTCCTGTCCTCTAGCTTGGTGAGGTTCGGCTTTGTCTTCCTGACGTGGCCGATGCAACCAAATGTCCGGAGGAATGACACGTTCGGCTTGCTCCCGTACCAAGCTTCGAACGGCGTCTTGCCCGTTAGGGCCTTGGTTGGAGCGCGGTTGAGGATGAACACCATCGTGGTTACCGCCTCTCCCTAGAATTTTGCCGGCATCCCTTTGGCCTTCATCATGGATCGGGCCATGCCGACCACTGTCTGGTTCCGTCGCTCCACCACGCCATTCTGTTGTGGCGAGTATGGCACGGTGTGATGTTGTCCCACACCCTGATCCGCGCAGTACGTAGCAAACTCCACCGAAGTGAATTCACCACCCCGATCAGTCCTCAGTACGTGGAGCTTCTTGGCGCTCTCGGCCTCCGCGCGCGTCTTGAACTTCTTGATCGCCATCGCCGCTTCGTCCTTGCTCGTTAGGAGTTGCAGCCACATGTAGCGACTACAATCGTCCACGAGTAGGAGGAAGTACCGCCGACCACCGCATGTAGCAGGCGTGATCGGCCCGCAGAGGTCGCCGTGAACTAGCTCGAGAGCTTCCTTCATGCGATACTTGGCCGCCTTTGGGAAAGGTAGCCTCCTCTGCTTCCCGGCTAGGCAGCTGTCACATAGCTCGCCTCCGTGTTTGATGTGGGATAGCCCTTGGACCATGTTCACTAGCCGACCAAGCGCGTCGAAGCTGAGATGTCCGAACCGGGCATGCCACATCCACGGTTCCTCGGAGTGCCTTGCCGCTAGGCAAACCGGCTGCTCTACCTTTAGGTCGAGCAGGTACAACCGGTTTAGAAACCTCTTCACCTTGGTGAGAAGTCGCTGCTCTCGGTCTCTGATCCTCAGAACGCCGTCCTTGATCAGAACCTCGCTACCGCGCTCATCCAGCTGACCAATGCTGATGATGCTGGAACGCAACTGCGGGATATAGTATACATCCATTAGCGCGCGGTGCTCCCCATTCTGGCATCTGAAGGTGATGGTGCCGCGCCCTTGGATAGCCACCCTTGAGCCATCACCAAACTTCACCATACCGGTAACATCGCCGTCGAGCTCGGAGGAGTCCTTGGAGCCCGTCATGTGGTTACTGGCACCAGAGTCCAGATACCACGGCTGCTCCTGGTCGGCGCCCACATGCCCGAGATGGACATGGGCACGTGGTTCATCGAGGTTGACGGTCTTCAGGGCCTTCCCAGGTCCTTCCACCGTCGTCGCCTCTTCCCTCTCTTTGGCCTCGAAATCGTATAGTGCACAGAACGTCGCCATAACGATAGTGGCCTCATCCTC